CAGATGAAAACAGTAGCCTCTTGATAAACTTGTCAGATGACAAATCTTGACCAATTTTCTAAATAATTGTTAGTCACTTAAGGTTAAAATTCTAAAGTATTTTAGAAGTCATATATTCTAATCTGCTCAATGTATAGGTTCCCCAACCTTTCTGGCTTTGTGGAGAAGGGGGGGGGATTGTTCTGCGTGAGTTTCAGGCATGTGCACAGCTCCATTTGCGCACGCACCTGCCCAGGGATAGGCAACCTTGGCTCTTTTATGACTCATGGACTTCAACTTTCAGAATTCTTGAGCCAGCATAGCTGGCTCAGGAATTCTGGGAGTTGAAGTCCACGAGTCATAAAAGAGCCAAGGTTGACTACCCCTGCACTGGCCTATTGCTTGTGCAAGTGGGGATGTGGGTGTGCCCACCACTTCTACAGACCAGTTCTGAATGGCTCAAGGCCTGGTAGTGGACCATGACCTGGGGACTCCTGATATATACGCTTTCTCTCCATGGTTCTATGGAACCATGGCCACAGTGACTTGTGAACCACAAGATCTGTGTATGTGCTAATACATGTTTTGGCACGCTTGCTATTTTGTTAGGATACTAGCATGTCCCACTGGTTTTTGCTGTTATTTCCTGGCCACTGAGAATGGATTTTATGTACACTGCAGCAAAGAACATTTGGGAGCTGCCCATGTATTTGGAACTACTTTGCTATCTCATCGATTTCACAGGCAGCAGTCATAGAATAGAAATTTCTCCTCTCAATATTTAATTTTGCACAACATATGGTAAGCTTCTTTTTCCCCAGAGTAAGTGCTGCCTTTCCCGTAAACAACACACAAGCTAATTAACAGTAAACAGCCACACATTTCTGTCACAGAATCCCAATGTTAGATTTGTTTTGTTTTGACATGAACTATAGTTCTGTTAGGCTCCAACACATCAGTTGCAAGATGACATTCATATTGAAGATAGGTAAACACCCACAGCATGTAACTATATCATTTCCTGTTCTTTAGATGGACTTCCTAAGTCTTTATAAACCAATGTATTCAAATGGAGCTTGTTTATCTCATTTCAGAATAGCTTTCCATTGTCCTTTGCTGGTAACGAGGTTTAGCTATACTGGCAAAAACAGTGCTTTATGAAACCAGTTAAAGACCAAGTTATTATTTGGAATCTTCTTTGTGATGCTTGGCGGAGAATTTTTCACGTAACCTTTTCAATTTTCCAAGCTTTCCTTCTTCCAGCTGCTTCAATTGTTCTGAAAACAGTAGTAGTTGAATATAAATTAAGATAGAATACTTTCTAAAAAATGTTTTACATTTCTACCTACTTATTTAAGAATGCATTACAAAATATAGGTGACTAATGTACCTCTTCCAATATGCAATTGGAAGTCACAACAGATTCTACCTCCCTAATCCACATGCCTTTGCAATCCATACAGTTGAATATTCACAATCACAAGCAATAATTCTGTTTTAAGCTACACCTTCAAAACCCTAAAATGCAAAGCATTAGTTTCCATCTAAATTTTTGCTTCACTGCCTGAGGCAATATATTTTCTTTATTCAGTAAGGCAATTCTAGAGCCAGGAAAAAGTAACATTTTCTATGTGTACTGAACAAAAGCCTACAATTTAGCTCCACGCCACTCTAAATATATTTTAAATTCATTCTGCTGTTTTGAGTGTATAAACATATACAAAAATTAAATCATTACAATAGAAAACTCTTGAATGATAATAGCTTTAGCTTCTATATAGTATACCCTATACAGAGGAGGCATTATACATTTACCTCTATTCCTTTTCATCTTTTTAATCCAAAGAAGAAAGTAAGCAGATAAAGGATATGAAATTCCTGTTACAATTCTTATATTACATGTTAGTTTTTGGCTGATCCTCCTCAGCAGCACATACTAGTAGTCCTTGACTTACAACTGTTCAAGGACTGTTTGAAGGTATAATGGCCCTGATAAAAGTGATTTACAATCAATCCTTGCACTATAACCATTGCAGCATCCTCAGAGTCACATAATCAAAATTCAGGTGCTTGTCAACTGGCATGTATTTATGACAGCTGCAGCATCCTGGGTCATGTGAACATCATTTTGTGATCTTCCTAGCCAGTTTCCGACAAGCAAAGTCAATAGGGGAAGCCGGATTTGTATGGAAGAGTTGTATGGAATTATGTCATAACCACTGAATTCCAAGAGTCATGTGACTTTAAATGGAAGAAATATGAAAATGGCAGTTGGGGCTATGAGAAATGGCTTGCTCCATTAAGCTTAAAGTAGCCTAGAAGATTACATGAACAAGGGCACCCTTTTTATGTTGAGTGACTCATGCGGTTCTTTTTTTTAAAAAGCCTGACATATCTACTCTTTAAATTGCTCACAGCTTCTTTGGATTAAAAATGGATGACTGTGTATCACTTTACACCAACATAAAACTTACAGCCACTACGATACAAAGCTCAATGAGGGGCACTGAACTAGTCCTTTACAAGTGTTTTTAGAATATATTTGAATTCATAGCAAAGCTGTTGACAGGAAGGAAAAAGTTAGTGGCAGCAAATTCTTGTGTGGAAAAGAGGCCAAAGGAAGAAAGAAAAAATGTACAAAAACTATACATAAATCTACTGTACAAAAGACACTAGATTTATGCCAATAAATGTTGTTCCCACAAATACTCAAACAGTTCCTACAGTTTAATTACCTGTTGCAAGGACCAACTTGCATTCCTCCACTGGCACTCCAGAGAAGTTTGTATCTCTCAGACGTGGATACTATTCCAAAAAGAAAAACAGATATATAAATATACACCTTACTTTCTCTAATAGAGAAAAATGTTTTTGACAAGGTAATGTACTGCATGGCATGAAATGAAATAAATTTACTAGGTAGTAGAGCAGAGGTCCCCAACTATGCGCTGCGGCCCACTACCGGGCCGTGGCCTCTTGGCCACTGGGCCACGTGAGTGCACCAGTGCTAGCAAGCCGTGAGCCTCAGGCGTTAGCTGAGCTACGAGGCTCTCGCTGGCAGTAGCTAAGCCATGAGTTGTGAGGCTCGCTGGTGCTAGCTGAGCTGCGAGACTCTCGCCGGTGCTAGTCAAGCTGTGAGCTGAGCTGCGCGCCAGCTAGCAGCCCCATTTGTGGAGCATCATGGCCCCGTTCGCACGCATGCATCCATATTTGCATGTGCTCATGCACGCATAAAGGCGCCTGCCCCTCCCTTTCCCACCGGGCCAACGCAGAAAGGTTGGTGACCCCTGTACTAGAGTCTTGTTATGGTAATTAACAGACGTGCATATTCAGATATATAAATGTATACATATTTCAGACTATTTTCAAAGTTATACAGAATTTAAGAACGCAATTGTCTTTTTCTTGAACTAAGATTTTGAACAGATCTAAACAGTATCCCTAGTATCAGAATTAGAAAACTAAAGAGAGCAGTCACCACATAACTATACTTACCACAATGGTAGAACTCACCTTATTTTTATAATAATTAGTATGAATTTTAGTTAAACTTTCAAAAATTTCATCGCAAGTCACTGGGTCAGCAATCTGCAAGAATAGATTGTAGTAAAAAAGGAATTAAAAACTTATATAAGTCACAATAATTAAAAACAGATTACATGTTCTTAATGTTTAGATTTCAATTATAAATTATAACTGTCATACCTATTCAGTTGATTATCAAATTAAAAAGTTTCCTAAAATAGATTTAACATGAATCTTGCATGTGAATTCCATTTTTTGTCAATCTTCTATAAATCAAAGTACATAGTCTATAGAAAGAGTAAATATGTGATTAAAACAGCCCTAAATATGCCCACATAATGAACGTAAGACAAAAAATAATCACTGGGATATGGACATGCAGTATGGACTTATCCCCATGGTGGATAATACTAACATCTACCATCCCACAAGCGCTGGATCCAGGTCTCGTTCACTTTTTGGCTCTAAAATATGACACAGAGTGATACATTTTGCAAAATCATGATGCCAAGTTGCCACCTCTCCATTTTCTCCATAGTTCTGAGGTGCTAGCAATTCTCAGGGCAATGGATACAATCTCCCTGCCTTTGGGCAAGGGGAATCTTTCTCAATATTTACATGTATTTTGGCTTTATTACAGTACCAAAGATAAGAGGTGGGGGGGGAAAACCCACTTCCATCTTAACTCATAAGAAAATAATAGAGCTGGAAGGGACCTTGGAGATCTTCTAGTCCAGGGGGTCCTCAAACTTGGCCCTTTTATGACTTGTGGACTTCAACTCCCAGAATTCTTCAGCCAGGCTCGCTGGCTGAGGAATTCTGGGAGTTGAAGTCCACAAGTCATAAAAAGGGCCAAGTTTGAAGACCTCTGTTCTAGTCTAACCCCCCTTCATGCTTCCATGAAGTTTCAAAACAAAAAAAAAAAGAGTCCTGAAGCTTCGTGCAAACTGGAGATCCACAAGTCCTCCCAGATCCCAGAACTGAAAAACATGCAGAGGCTTCCCTTCGAGTCAACACGCGTGCCTGCCTCTTAATCGTTTAATCCCCAATTCATAAACCGATAAGGTGGCCGGCGGAAAAAGAGCAAGTCCTGAACTTTTCATAGCCGTCTACACAGCAGCGTCTGCTGCAGCCGAGTCCCGCCGGAGCCCCGGCTCTACACATAACCACTTAACAGCGTGAGAACTCAACCTCTTCCTCGCTCTGGCCCGGGACGAAGAGGCTTTATAGCTGCAAGGTAAATGACCTTGGCGCCGCCAATCGCTTTAGCCCAGCCCTTGCAGCGCAAGTCCCCCAATGCTAAGTCCCACCTGAGTATTCTCTCCCTCGCGGAAGGCTTG